CCTCTTATAGCTACGAACCATACAGTAGTTAGATCCCAAGACGTTTAGTAATAGTAGGTTACAAAAGCCAGCTCTGGTGTCAAAAGGAACTGCTTGAGGAGCTGGTTTAACAGTGTGCTTAAGGGCTATTGAATGATAACGAAGCATCTCTCCTAAGTCGAGTCCACATAGTTTATCTTCGCTCAATTTCACTTTTTTAAGACCTTGACTGAATTCAGAACCTCCCAAACCAGCTATTTCAACCTGTAATACTTCCGACATTTATTTTCTTATCTGACTGGCTAACTCATTCAGGCACACTCGAATAAGTATTCGCGAATAAACGAAAAATAACCATACCACAATCGATTTACATATATCTTCAATGGAGTCGTCTCTCCAATCATGATTTTATTACTTGGAGCCTTTCTTAAATGTCCTCCAAGAAATGTCGCCCTGACAGCGTGACAAAAATGCGAAAACGAGTTCAAACCACTCCTATATTTCTAAAGTTCACATTCAAGAGTGATCCTACTACTTTGCAAAGCAATCTAAATCATGTTTTGCTGTTAAAAGATCAAGATTTGTAATAGTGAAGACAGTAGCTTTTGATAGCAAAGAGATGAGTAGTTCGATACAATTCATGTCTCTATAGGTAAGGATACGATGTCAGTTACGAGGACGAACCTGCTATTAATGAGATTATATAAAACAAAGTAATGATCAGTATATTCATCGGAGTCTTCGTGTTAAACACTACCAAATTGCGAAAACGACTATTGCTAGATTGCTGATTTAAAGTATTACGATTCTTACTGAGATCAATTACAAATAGCTGAGATTTTGATAAAACATAAGGTAAATCAATCTTACTCAAAAGAGAAATAGCACTTAAATATTTTGATCAAATGAGATTCGTTATAAGAGTTTAAGGCATTTAGCTAAAACTAAATTTTGGCTGAGATGGCATGTCAATTTTTAAGCACAATACCAACTATTGTAATATCAAAAAAAAATTTCAACAAATAGTAGTAGCAATAATTCAACTGTGATGGCCGCAATAGAGACAACGCTTGCAAGCAGGTCAAAATAGATAACAAGTTGAATAATTCTAAATGAAAAACGTCTTTTTTCCATGTTTATAAATTCGATAATCTTTAGATAGTTGATTTCACTAGCTGAGCATATATGAACATATGATTATACATGTGCAAGAAGAATAGATTCCGTCTTTTGGTTGTAGAAATACCGGATAGATAGATGAGAGTTCGATAAGGCATAGGACGACTTGACGCTTTAGCCAAGACATATCTGTGAAGAGAATCAGGCAAAGAAAAACTGGATCAACTAGCGCCTTGGCAGCTTGCATTCCTGCAGATGCCTGCATCGATGGGGCTGACTGGTCAACCCGGGGAAGGCGTGAGAAGAGGCCAGTCAGGCAGACGAGAAGTCGGAATAGGACATGTCGATTGATACTTAGTAAAGCATTCGGAGCATTTTCGGACGACAAATCCGATTCATCATAAGCAAATTGGTTTGCGATTGACTTAAGTTGTCCATCACTGTTCAGATCAATATCCATGGTTGTGAAGAGGGGCAGTGAAGAACTACAAGATCGAGCCTCTTCATGTGATTCAGTGTCATCATCTGAGGTGTCACCACTATTAACAAGCTTAATCTCTCCAGCTTTGCCCTTATGATGTTTGGTAGAGATGCTAGCAGATCCCACCAATTGTCGGAGAAATTGCTCTTTATGAAGACACCTAAACAAAACATTTAAAAAGAATGCAAATGCGAACAAAAAGAAGACAAAACGATGACTGTATTAAGTCTTTTTATAGAAAATTGCGTAAAAGGAAATAACCCAAAAATTTATTCAAATTGTTGATCAAAATAATTTCCCCCGGTGACATAAATATATCTGAT